AAACCTCAGTTTATTCATCTCTGAAATGGAAATAAATGTACTTGTCCTGTGTTGTAATAAAGTTAAGATATGATAATTCTTATAAACTGCTTAGCATAATGCTAGGCACATACTGTTCTTGGTAAAATTAGCTATTATCATTAAGGTCCCTCAGTCGTGTTGTCCTCTTTTGTCTTCAGCAGAGACAATTAGGTCTTTTTATCCTTCCGGTCCCACAGGAAGGAGAGCTTCTTGCCTAGGTCAGGGAGACACTGTATAGCCTACTTCCCACAAGTGTTCCTGTCTCTTGGGGATATAGTCCTGAGCCAACCCCAAAACATCATTCATTTGTAGACACTGATGTCTGTTATATGTCACACTCTGTGCTAGATGCCGAGAATTTTAAAAATGCAGCTTTTAATTAAGCCACTGAATGTATAATTTTCATACACTTATATTTTTGAAATTATTTGTATTGCCCAAGTTTCCCCTGCCCTTTTTTTGTTTTTAATTACTATATCTTTACTGATTTCAGAGAGAGGAAGGGAGAGGGAAAGAGAGAGAAACATCAGTGATGAGAGAGTCATTGATCTGCTGCCTTCTGCATGCCCCCAACTGGGGATCGAGCCCGCAACCCAGGCATGTGCCCTGACCGGGATTGGAACCACGATCTCCTGGATCCTAGGTCATTGCTCAACCGCTGAGCCACGCTCAGCCGGGCCTCCCATGCTCTTGCCGGTTGAGTTTGCTCATAACATGTGGTAAGACCCAGTCCCTGCCTTCTCCAGTCCTATTTAGCTGCAAGCTCAGTTCTCAAACCTTGCAGGCTCAGCCAGTCCTGACTAAGGTAGGTGAGTGGGGCCTGCAGTTAGTGTGGCTAATGTAGCTGCAGTGCTTAGTGTTCCCAGGGCTAGAGCCCTGAGCAATGTGCCTGTAGAGCTGTCAGCTTTTTCTTGACTCACCTGTAAATCAGGACCTGGGCTTTGTTTTCCTGTTGGCATTCTAGGTCTCATAACAGGACTGGAAGCTTGCCTTTATCTTACATCCTGTCGGATCTTGCTCCAGGTATTGGTCCCACCATTATCTTTATTGTTAACCTTCTCTTTAGCTTTCCCCCTGCATCTTAGAAACAGAAAAGAGGGCAAAAAGACTGTTGCCTTTATATCCTCTTAATTTATTGCCTTTTTCTTTCTTATCTCTGAATGAATGGGCTAATTTCCTGATTTCGTCTCTTTATCTCTTTTTACTCTTGAACTCGCTGTAGTCAGCTTTCTTTTTTTTCTTTTTTTAAAAAAATATATCTTTATTAATTTCAGAGAGAGGAAAGGAGAGGGGGAGAGAGATAGAAACATCAATGATGAGAGAGTCATTGATCGGCTCCCTAGCCCGCGCAACCCCGGGCATGTGCCCTGACCGGGAATCAAACCCCGATCGCCTGGATCCTAGTCGAAGCTCAAACGCTGAGCCACCACCAGCTGGGCTGTAGTCAGCTTTCTATGCTGTATATCATCTCCTGAAACTTCTCTGGCATAGATGATGAGGTTTGCAAACTACCAAGTCCAATCATTCTATTCAGTTTTTAGTTTTTCTTTGCTTTTCTTGGGAATCTGACACTACTGCCTCTTACCATTTTCAAATTATCTTGCATTTCTTTTCTTTCCTCTCAGATCATACATTCTCAGCCTTCTCTTTCTTTATTACCCTTTTTTTGGTCCATTCCTTAAACGTTGGATTTCCTGGGCAGTGTCCTTAGCCTTTCTCTTTCCTTGTTCTACATCTTCCTCAGGTTACCTCACCTGTTTCTGGTGGAACATTTCACCATTATCTTCTGTTTTGACAGTTCTCAAACCATCATCTCCCATTCAGACCTGTCCTTGCATTTCAGACTCCTTTATGTGACTAGTAAAGACCCCACCTGCACCCTCCTGTAGATACCTCAAAGTCAGCTTGACAGGATAAGTTCATGATCTTTTTTCCCCAGACATGTTTGCCCTCAGTTATAGGCACCACCCTCTGTTCAGTCTGTGAAGCCTGGAACCCTGAACCCTTTCTTCTTTTTCATCTCCTACATCTACTCAATCAGTTAGTCACCCATTTACATATTAAATATTGTGCTCTCATTTTGTGCCCACTATTGTGATAAAATTCTTAAGGTTCACTATTTGCTAATATCTTTTGTATTTGTACTTTTTCTCAAACCTTTTTGCTATAACCCTTGCCACCTATTTCATGTTATAACCACCTAACCTATCTCCCTTTCTTCCTCTATTCCATGTTCCATACTGAAATTAGAGTGACTTTTCAAAATTGAGGTCAGATCATTGTTTTCCAGCTTAAAACCTTTTGATTTCCTGTCTGTAGTAAAGTCCAAATTTCTTAGTATGGCACACAAGGCCTTCCACAGGTGTGTTTTCTCCAGGGTTCTCTCGTTTTCCTCCTGCAATTTTTTGAACCCTTGTTTAATGAATAACAATTTCCTAAATGTTCCTTGCTGGTTCTATGCTTTTGCTTGTGCTCTTTATTCAGGCTTTTTTGCTTTTCACATTCAGTGTCTTTATTATTAATTACTATATGTTATTTGAGACCCAGCTCAAGCATTGCCTCCTCTACAAAGCTATTTATGATATCCCCTTCTTCAATTAAGCCTTTTCGTGTGTGTGTCCCCATATGCTACCTCATTCACTTGCCTATAGCAGTTAAAGCATTCAATCACCATTCTTTTGTCTACATGTCTTTTCTTTGTAGTAGAGTGCCTTATTATATCTCCAGCCTCTAGCACAGAGCCTGGTTCATAATAGGCTTTCAGAGAATGTGTGATGACTGAATGAATATATTATCAGCCATTATGTAATGAGAGCATTCTTTCTTTTCCCAGATCATGAACTTCTTTTCCCAGCAGGTATTATATCTAATCTTATTTATTTTTCAGGGTCTTGTCATAGGTGCTTAATAAAAAAATGTTGTAGTAATCTGAGGTGGAGGTTTGCAGTGGATTAAATAAGGCTTCCCTGCAGAGAAAGTAGAATTGTGTTGGTCCTATGAACAATAAGATTTTCTTATATTCCATTGTCTTCATGTTTATGTCATGATCAATTTATAGATGGAAACATCGCACCAAAATTTAATCTTCTTTGATATTTGCCAAATTAAGAAGATTCTCAGTAATAATACTTCAGGGATTAACTGCTTTTAACTAGTGTGAGGATTTTTACTTTTTAAAACGTTAAAGTATAGGTGTCCTAGTTGCTTTTAAAAGTTGCAGAGTAATTATCTAAAATATTTTGTAATAAATCAGAGAGTCAGCGTTTAAAAACCAGAGTCAGACTGAATGATTGTGGCATGTCCCATTTCTTTTGTAATTTAGATATTTTTCAATTGCAGTTTACATTCAATATTATTTTGTATTAGTTTCAGGTATACAGCATAGTAGTTAGACAATCATATGCTTTTCCCTATGCTGTACTTCACATTCCTGTGACTTTTTTATGACTACCAATTTTAGTTCTTAATCCCTTCACCTTTTTTATCCAGCTCCCCAACCCTCCTCCCATCTCACAATCATCAGTTCCTTCTCTGTATCTATGAGTCTGTTTTGTTTGTTTATTTTGTTTTTTAGATTTGACATATAAGTGAAATCATATGGTATTTGTCTTTCTCTGACTGGCTTATTTCACTTAGCATAATATCCTCTAGGTCCATCCATCTTGTTGCAAATGGTAAGATTTCATTCTTTTTTTATGGCTGAGTAATATTCCATTGTATATATGCACCACAGCTTTTTTATCCACTTGTCTCTTGATGGGCACTTGGGTTGCTCCTGTAGCTTAGCTATTGTAAATAACACTGCAGTGAAGATAGTGGTGCATATATCTTTTCAAATTACTGTTTTGGATTTCTTTGGCTAAATATGAGAAGTGGAATCGCTGGGTCATAGGTAGTTTTACTTTTAACTTTTTCAGGAACCTCTCTGCACTGTTTTCAGTAGTGGCTGCACTAATTTGCAATCCCACCAATAGTACACAGGGTTTCCTTTTCTCCCTATCCTCACCAGTACTTGTTGTTTGTGCATTTATTGATGGTAGCCATTCTGACAGCTGTGAGGTGATATCTCATTGTGGTTTTAACTTGTATTTTCCGGAAACTATAAAACTCCTAAAAGAAAACATAGACAGTAAACTCTCTGACATTGCTCTTAGTAATATTTTTTGTGATTTTTTCCTTGGGCAAGGGAAACAGAAGAAAAAATAAACAAATGAGACTACATCAAACTAAAGTTTTTGCACATCAAAGGAAACCATCAACGAAACGAAGAGACCTCCTACTGAATAAGAAGCTATCTGCCATTGATATACCTGATAAGGTTATTATGATTAGTGACATTGAACATCTTTTCATGTGTCTCTTGGACTCTTGTGACAGCATATTTTTGGGTCTTGTTTTCTTATCCCTTAAGGGAGCCTATGTTTTGATTGGAGCATTTAATCCATTTATATTTAAGGCTATTATTGATAGGTCCTTATCTATTGCAATTTTAATTCTGGATGCCTATGTTTCCCTCTCTCTCTGTTTCTACTTCTAAATACAGCAGTCCCTTTAACATTTCTTGCAATGCTGGTTTGGTGGTGATAAACTCCGTTAGCCTTTTTTTTTGGTCTGGGAAGCTCTTTATTTCACCATCTATTTTGAATGTGATAGCCTTGCTGGATAAAGTAGCCTTGGTTTCAGATCCTTGTTTTGCATTACCTTGACTATTTAATGCCATTCCCTTCTAGCCTGTAGAGTTTCTGACAGTCTTATGGGGACTCCTTTGTAGGTAACAGATTGCTTTTCTCTTGCTGCCTTTTTTTTTTTTTTAAGAGAAATGTGGAATTTATTAGGTACCAAATGCAACTATAAACCATCTAAAACAGGGATGCAGAAAGCTCCTTTGTTTCTCTAGGCTTTCCCACCCCAGCCCCATAAAAACATTTTGCCCACACACAATGGCGAGCAGAGAGTAAAACACTCTGGTCCTCAGCGACCGGATGAGAGCGAGGGCACCTCCTCCTTCAGCGCATCTTCCACTTGCTTCTCCAACCAGTGCTGCTGCTGGGCGCCTACTGCCTGGCAGAACCTGTGCATGGCGACTTTTAGGTGGAGGGGCTTATCTGAAAAGGTGAGGCGGAACCAGCCAGGCTCCTTACACATGTAGGCCTTGCCAGGGGACAGTAGCAGCTTGTGGTCCAGGAAGCAGCGATAAAGGAGCAGCTCTTCCTCAAATGTGCATGGGTCCAGGTACTTTTTCAAGTTCATCCAGACATAGAGGCCAGAGCCACAATTGAGAAAGGGGATACCCAATGCCTTCAACTGGTTAGTGATGAACCTGTGAGCTTCCTGCAGCCGGGAACGATTAGTGGGCACATACACGTTGTCAATCCATTCTCTGTCCTGGAGCAGCTGACACAGCTTGTGCTGGGTGATGCCAGAGATGCCATGGAGGAAGCCAAAAGCGCCCACGGCAGAGGCCACATCCTTGCTGTTGGTGTAGAGAGCGCCAAAGCAGAAGCCAGAGATCCCAAAGCCCCAGATCACATGGGTCCTTTTGGGGTCAGGCAAACTTTCCATGCTCAGAACGCTGCAGAATGGGAAGGATTCATTGAACACAGACAGCATGGAAATCTCATGAATAATCACATGGAGGTTGTATCTCTTGGCAAATTCCAGATATTCGTTCAGTGAGTCCTGGGAATAGACGTCTCGCGGAGGATTATTAGGGTTGATCAGCACAAGGCCTTTGACCTTTCTCCCCTTAAGCCTAGCGTCAAGCAGGGCTTTCTCCAACTTGCCCATAGTCAGCTGGAAGGGACAGGTGTCCGCCTCAGTGATCTCACTGTCCAGGTGGACATGAATCAGCTCAACTTTCGAATACAGGCGGGAAGTAAAGGTGAAGCCAGAATAGAAGGGTGTGGCGACCAGAATGGCCTCACCTGGATCACTCATAACCATGGTCAGTGCCAAGAAGACAGAGAGGCAGCTATTTAGAACAACCACATTTTCTGGATCAAGCTGGGCTGGTGCCTTGCTGTAGTTGGTCAGGAACAGGGCCACTTCTTCCTGCAGGAATGCATGTCCTTTCCAGTCAGAATATTGCAGAAGGTCATCATCAGTGTAGTTCATGTCACTTCGACTCAACCTTTCAGTCATCAGATCAATGCAGAGCTTGTTCTCATTGATACCAAGGTTAATGAAGCCCCAGGTGTTTTTGCCTCTGTGGTATTTGTCTCTTTGGTAGGCCATGAAGTCCCGGAAGGTGGAGTGGTATAAGGCAGAGATGTCAATCCCACGGTTGGAGAGGTCATAGCTGATGAATGCAGCTTCCGAATCACTCAGTTGGTGACTTAGCTGGTCAGGCTCCCTGGGCGATTGGGCCAGCTACCCACCTCCAACATCACCTCGGATGTCCGGGGAATGGCGAGGCAGTTGGAACTCCAGGCTACTTGTGACCCCAGAGTGTAAGAGGTTGACCACCTGGCACATTAAGTGGACAAGGATGGCTTCCTGCTCCTGATGGCCTGAGTGTGCCTCTGCTTCTCTGTCTCCCAGTCCTGCTACAGGTGCCTGGTCTCCAGCTGTGTGATGTAGTCCTCTATGGTCTGCCTCAAGCGCGGGATCAGCTCCATCACCTGGGGGTGGGGGCTCTGGTTTCTGANAAGCGCAGGATCAGCTCCATCACCTGGGGGTGGGGGCTCTGGTTTCTGAGGCCCTGGCCCTTTGTCTGGCCACAGGGCTTGTGGAGGGTGTCTGATTGGTGACTCATACTCTGGGTCTTTGTTTTGGACTTACCAGGCTGGCCTTTACCTGTGTCTCTGTTTCCGCTCATCTCTTTGGTCTAAAGTCCTTACGCCGAAGAAATAGACCTTGACCATCAGGGCTCAGGCACTGCTCCAAGGCCCTCCTCCTCTCATGAAGTTTGCTTCTCTTGCTGCCTTTAATATTCTCTCTTTGTCTTGCATTCTTAGCATTTTAATTATGATGTGTCTGGGTGTGGGCCTCTTTGAGTTCTTCTTGCTTGGGACTCTCTGTGTCTCTTGAACTTGTGTTTCTTTTTCCTTAACTAGGTTAGGAAGTTTTCTGCCATTATTTCTTCAAACAGGTTCTCTAACCCTTGCTTGCTTTTGACCTCCTCTGGCACTCCTATGATGCTAATATTGTTATGTTTCATGTTGTCCCACAGCTTCCTTAGACTGTCCTCTTTTTTTTTTTTAAATATATCTTTATTGATTTCAGAGAGAGGAAAGGAGAAGGGGAGAGAGACAGATAGAAGCATCAATGATGAGAGAGTCATTGGGGATCGAGCCCGCAACCCGGGCACGTGCCCTGACCGGGAATCGAACCCCGATCGCCTGGATCCTAGGCCGATGCTCAACCGCTGAGCCACGCCCGGCCGGGCTGTCCTCCTTTTTCTTTTAATTGTTTTTTTCTTTTTGGATCTCCGATTGAGTGATTGTTTTCTGTCGTGTCTTTTAATTTACTGATCTGATCCTCTGCTTCTCCTAATCGCTATTTATTCCTTCCCATGTATTTTTTATTTCTACTATGTCATTCTTAATTTCCTTCATAGTATCCGTATCTTTTCTCATGCTGTTGAGCATCCTTATGGTTAGTATTCTGAACTCTATATCTGAGAGATTGCTTATCTCCATTTCATTTAGCTCTTTTTCTGGAGACTTCTCTTGTTCTTTCATTTGTGGCTTGTTTTTTTTGTCTCCCCATATTGGCTGCCTGTTTGGATGTGATTCTATGTATTAGGTAGATCTGCTAGGACTCCCAGTCTTTTGGATGTTCTCTGATGCAGGCCAATGTCAGATGCTGTTTGTGACTGGCCTTGAGTACCCTATTTGAAGCTTTCTGCACTTTTAGCTTGCGGTTTCCTCTGCTGGGGCTGGGTGTGTTTGGACAGGACCAAGATGCTCACCAACATCTGCTTTTCTAACCTCTGGGTCCAGAAGCAAATTAGTCAAAGTCTCAAAGCACCCAGAGGCTGTTGTTCAGTCTCTTAATGAGCCTCAGACTTTAGAAACTCCACATGGTTGGGAATGAGGTTTTCCAGCAGGGTGGGGCAATTCCTGCCTCCCTACCCCAATCCGCCCCAGCAAAAGCTGCTTGGAAGGTCAGTTCTGCCTGAGAAAGATGTCCTCTGCCCTATGGGGGAATGACTCAGCATGGGCGTCCAGATGGGAGACCCCTGAGTTCCATTCCCCTAGCCAGCCCCTCTGGATTCTCCTCACACTGCTCTAGTCCACTCTGCCCTACTTCAGCCGGAGCCCAAAGTCAGTGGCTGCACATGAAACTTTGTGTGTTGGCACTTTAAGACGGGCCTGCATTTCCAATGTTTCTCCCTGGCAGACAGAAACCTCACTGCTTTTCCCAGCCAAATGTTATGTGGGCACCTTTCTCAGTTCTGGTGCTCTGGACTGGGGAGCCCAGCTTGGGGGTTAGACCCCAGAGTCCTCAGTGGGAACCCCCCACAGCTGAGATATCCCCCGGACCTTCAGCTGTTGCCTGTGGGAGCCCAGCCAGCCCTCTCGTGCCTCTGCACTTCCTACCAGTCTCTATGTGGTCTCCCCTTTTCCTCCTTGGTTATGAGGATGCTCTCTAGCTCGTCTTCAGTTGCAGTTGATTATTCAGGGTTGTTTTTCTATATTTTAGTTGTCATTTCCAGTTTGGTCCTGAGAGTGTCAGTGTAGCTTCCACTCACTCCACTGCCATCTTGGGGAAAAAATTTGATCATTACATTTAAGTCTTTAACCTGTTTTGAGTTTATTCTTGTTTATGGTGTAAGAAGGTGATGTCGTTTTATTGTATTGCATGTGTGTGTCCGATTTTCCCAGCAGCACTTTTTGAATAGACTGTCTTGACCCTATTGTATGTTCTTGCTGCCTTGTCAAATAGTAATTGTATAGGTGTGGATTTATTTCTGGGCTCTCTTTTCTGTTCCATTGATTTATGTGTCTGTTTTTATGCCAGTATCATGATGTTTTGAGTAGCCTCTTATAGTTTGATATCAGGTAGTATGATACCTCCAACTTTGTTCTCTCTCAAGATTGCTGTGGTATTTTGGGCCTTTTGTTTTTTAGGTTTTTTGTTTTTTTTAAAGTAATGCTTTATGCCAAAAGTTTTAGATTTCTTCTTGGAAAAAAGACTAAAGAGTTAGGTGCCATGGATATGGGTAGGGATTGACATTCTAAATCAGAATAAATTATTAAGGAAGAAGGAAGCCATCAGCGAAGAGAATGGTTTGTTAATTGGGTTTAACAACCCATTGCAGTTTGTGGAAGGATGGGAAAAAATCAATATTATGAATTTAGGTACCTGTTTTTACCTGGGAAAATAGGATCTTATAAACAGAAGCTTGTTAGCCTGTTCTGTGACCTCAGATATTAGTTGAAATATACTGCCTATTTTGTGTCAAGCTGTTAGGCTTTATATATAGTATCTGTGTTGATACTGTGCATTTGAGGTAAAACAAGCAGAAATTCTCATCAAAACACTGTTAAGGCATATACTGTTCATTCTTGCTTTCAACCTACATTCGTAAAACACCAGTTATGTGCCAGGCTGTGTTCTAGGATTAGAGCGAGGAACTAATGAATGGAAGGCATAGTCTGTGTTCTCAAAGAACTTGGACTCCAATAAAGGGAACATAAACCTAGACTGGTCTAAGGAACACTTCTTGAGTTGTTGACAAGAAATTGGAGCCCACAGTCTAGCCTTGTGGGCTTGGGCTCTGCAAAGGTTGTGTGATGCTATGAAGAATGTGTGAAGGATGAGGGGTTGTGAATTCTAGACAGAAGAAACTCTGTGTGCAAACACATGTTGGTGGGACAGCATGGTTTTCTGTGGGAGCTGTGAGTCCCCAAATTCCTCAACAAATCAACCATGAGCCCTTATAAGTTGTACTCTTGAGTTGTTTTCAGAATCATCTGAGAGCTTACATTAGGTGTTGCTATAGTGCTAGCTCCATTTATATTACTGAATTATAAATATTCATCAGTATTTGATTATCAGAACAGGTTGGTTTATTGCTTTAAACATTCGTTGTTCAGCAGTATTTGAAATTAATATTAAAATAAGAGCTTTGTAATTTATAATTTTTTTAATGTTTTTTAAAAATTGACTTCAGAGAGAGGAAGGGAGAGGGAGCGAGAGATAGAAACATCAGTGAGGAGAGAGAGTCATTGATGTGCTGCCTCCTGCATGCCCCCTGCTTGGTATCAAGCCCCAAACCTGGGCGTGTGCCCTGACCTAGAATAGAACCATGACCTCCTGGTTCATAGGTCAGTGCTCAACCACTTAGGCATGCCAGCCTGTATGTAATTTAATATAGTGTCATGTATTAAATACTGTCCTCTTAAAGCTTAAATATGATAAGGGAGCCAGGGGTATTATAGAGAGGCTTTGGGTCATGCTGATATGAAACTGAATATGGAGGCATCACATTGTGACTTGGTTGGTTACATTTTACTGTGACCTGGCTATTTTGGTGGAAACATTTTGTTGTACTTAAAAAGTAAATTATTGCCCTGGCTGGTGTTGCTCAGTTGGTTCGAGAGTTGTCTTGTACACCAAAAGGTGGCAGGTTTAATTCCTGGTCATGGCACATACCCAGGATGTGGGTTTGGTCCCATTAGGGAGTGTGCAGGAGGCAACTGATTAATGTTTCTCTCAATCTCTCCCCATCTCTCTCTTACTCTCTCGCTCTCTGGAATCAATTTTTTAAAAAAGTAAATTATTAAATATATCACTTGTATAAACCACAAAGTAGTATGTGACACAGCCACTTTTGCATTGTCTCTGAGCTTTGTATCAGGGTCATACTCAGGTGTGATGAAGGTCAAAGATCCCTGTTGGTCGTATTACTTCTTTTTTCTTTTTTATATGTCTTTATTGATTTCAGAGAGAGGAAGGGAGAGGGAGAGAGAGAGAAACATCAATGTTGAAAGAGTCATTGATTGGCTGCCTCCTGCACACCCCCCACTGAGGATGGAGCCCACAACCCGGGCATGTGCCCTGACTGGGAATTGAACCTCAATCTCCTGGATCCTAGGTCTACATTCAGCCACTGAGCCACACCTGGCTGGGCCAGTCTCATTACTTTTTGATAGTGTTTTCACAAAATATCCCTTGGCAAATGCCAAAATAACAGCACCAGATTGATTTTAGGAGATTGTTCTGTTAATCTGAAAACAGTAGCCTAAAATAAAAGCTATGATTAGGTACTATTATTTATCCATAATTTACATATGAAAAAACAGATTTAATGAGCAACCAAGTAATTTGTCCTAGGCTACACTCCAAGGAAGTGGTGAACTGAAATTTCTAATCTGGTCAGCTCCACAACCCTCTTAACAATTAACCTTTGATAGCTTTCCTTCTGCTGGAACCTCTCAAGCCTTGATTAGACCAGTTTTATAGTTCCTGGTACTTCTAATTGAAGAGTCCTTTATCATTTATGGGAGGGGCTAAGTGTAGAGATCCAGGCATTGGGAGTTCTCTGAATAGAACTGAGTGGGGGAGAGGGAAAAGG